TTTTAATATAGTGTAAAAACTAATGTGTATTGCTGGTCTTTGACCGTAATAAAGATTTTACTTACTTATTTCATGTGTATAAAGAGACGTTAATGAATCCTGCTGAAATCAGTTTCCCGTGTGTGCTTTCTGGATGTGATTGCTGGAACAAACTCTGACAACAATGTTTAGCCTTAAATGTCCGTCAATCGCCTTCCTCTTCTATAAAATGCTAACCCAGCTCTGGCCTTTTCAGCTTTTGCTGAAACCTGACATAGGCATAAATCTCTCTTTTTCTATCCAAACCAGCTCTTTTTGCCTCAATAATCCGAGCAGAGGCCAAACTAAACACCCTTTGAATTTTCTGTTGTGATGCTTTCTCAAGAGCTAGGAGGAAAACCAGTAAGGAGGCCGCTCACCTTTCTTCCTGATCCGGAAACAACGAGGCCAAGGAAACCGCACAGAGAGCAGCATAGGCATATTTCCCCGGCTCACCCAACTGTGTGCCTGGACCTGTCCTTAGCGCTGTGTCTTCTTCCTCCTTCGGCCGGCTTCTCCAGGGCCTCCAGCCTGGCCGGGGATCAGCAGACATGTCCGTCTTATTCCTGCCAAAGGACACAGAAACACCAAAATAAGAATGCGAGAAGAATCTCTGCATCTCTCAGCATCCTTTATTCAACAGGTGGGGTGAGCCAGCGGGCTGTGAAAGCATCCCTCCTTCCTAGAGATAGACTGCTTCCTCCTAGGGAGGCTTCTGAGCTTTCCTGCAGCGATGTGGATTCTAACTTTCTAGGCCGTTGATGGCAAACCTCTGGCACGCGTGCTAGAGGTGGCATGCAGAGCCCTCTCTGTGGGCACGCGCGCTGTCGACAGCTGCTCTTCTGGTTTCTGACAGCTGGTTTTCGTGGGTGCCAGAACACCGGAAAATAGCCTGAAAACAGCCCGGAAAAAAGGCCAAAAACAGCCAAAAACAGGCAGTTTTGGGGGCCATTTTCCAGATCGTTATTTTGGGCCAAAAACAGCCCCCAAACAGCCCGAAAAACGGCCAAAAACAGCCTGAAAAACAGCCTGAAAAAGGCCCAAAACAGCCCCAAAACAGCCTGGAAAACAGCCAAAACCAGCCTGAAAAAGGCCGCAAACAGCCCAAAACCAGCCAGAAAAACAGCCTGGAAAAGGCCCAAAACAGCCAAAAAGCAGCCTGAAAAACAGCTTGAAAAAGGCCCAAAACAGCCCCCAAACAGCCTGAAAAACTGCCCCAAACAGCTTGAAAAAGGCCCAAAACAGCCTGGAAAACAGCCTGGAAAAGGCCCAAAACAGCCCAAAAACAGCCTGAAAAATGGCCCAAAACAGCCTGAAAACGGCTCAAAACAGCCCAAAGCCAACAGCCCAAAACCAGCTTGAAAAACGACCAAAAACAGCCTGAAAAACAGCCTGGAAAAGGCCCCCAAAATCCCCAAAACAGCCTGAAAAATGCCCCAAAACAGCCCGAAAAAGGCCCAAAACAGCCCCAAACCAAACAGCCCAAAACCAGCTTGAAAAACGGCCAAAAACAGCCTGGAAAACAGCCTGAAAAAGGCCTAAAACAGCCCCAAAACAGCCTGGAAAAGGCCCAAAACAGCCAAAAACCAGGCATGTGTGCCCCGGCCAGATGCCTTTGGGTTTCTAGTGCTCCACGCACGCACGCACACACATGCATGTGCATTCCAGTTTGGGCACTCGGTGCCGAAAAGGTTAGCCATCACTGTTCTAGGGCAAGTCTGGAAAAACTACACCGAAGAGGCAAAGCAACTGTACTTAAAACTTCCCTTCCCAAATACCAGGCCTCCCTCTCCCCGTTTCAATGGCAGCTGAAAGCAAGTAGTGAAACAGAGGCTGACAGCCAGCTGACATTGCCCTCTTGGCAGATGCAGTAACCCCAGGATAGACTGTCTCTGTCCCTGAAGGCTCCATTGCCTTCCCACGGCAGCCCCCAGGCATCACTTGATTTTGCTGAGTGAATCAACCTGTTTTCCAGCTTTCTTCAGATGGTGGCAGATAAACGGAGGAAGCAGATTATTAAAAGCAAACAAGGACCATTAAAACGAACCTAGGGAGTTTTTCATTGAGCTGGTTAATCTTTGGGGGTGAATGCAGCCAACATCACACACCCCACTGGTTTGTTCCAAATGCAGGTGAGCAGCTGGAGGATTCCCACAAAGCTCTCCCTGGCACGACTGCCCACAAAAGAGCACCCCCAGCCCAACCTATTCTACCTTCCACTCTTAGCAAGGAGAAAGGTGACAAGGGAACCAGCCAAGGGAATGCCTTCCCTTTGGCACACTGCCAATGCCATCACAACAACTTTTGTCCTCGATGTTGGAATTACTTACAGGTCATAATCCGGTTTACGGGGAAGACACTTTCCAGAGCAGAGGTGTTTCTCACCAGCTGGTGTAGATAATCACCCTCGAAGCAGCTATTAACAGACATAATAATAAAACAGTAAAATCAGAGAATGAACTTTGTGTCACCAATTCTTCTGAGAGACGGCTGAGTTTTCAGGACCAGCATCTGCTTCACTTCGCTTCACCCCACCTTCAAATCTGCCTTCTCTTTCCTGTCACCTCAATCCAGGAAGTCAGAAATGTTTCCGACAGCATTTGGCATCCCTCACAAAGGACTCGGGAGCCTTAAATCTGCTTCAACAGATCCAGTGGGATCCCAGGGGAAACTCCTGGCCATGAGAAAGCAATTCCTCTTTTATCATCAGCAGTTTGGTTGGTTTTGAAAACAACTTTCCACCCAGGGGAAGTCCTCCTACCCCCCCCCTCCTCAAAGCAAGCCGTTGTCCCTTTCATTTCTCGCAAACATGGAAATTCAAATCAACTCGTGACAAGCTCACAGTTGACTTTTCCAATTTGCTTACGTTTTTAAGACTTGGTCGTCTGGAGGTGATTTGTGTGTGTGTGTGTGTGTGTGTGTGTGTGTGTGTGTGTGTGTGTGTGTGTGTGCATTTTGTCCAATGCAAGACAGGTCAAACTGATAACATCCCACCTGGTTTAATTTCTCACTTCCTCCTGGCTTTGCAGGACCACACCATTCTATGGACGGGAATGCTGATGTTTTGAGTTAAGCAAGATTTGCTATTCAAATTGTGTTTCTGCAAACACCTTTTGTATTATCCGCTTCCTGGTTCTGGACACAAGGACGCAGACTAATGACCTTCTTATTAAACGCACAAGAAGGCCTGCAGTTCGGCGGTTTGAATCCCTAGTGCCGTGTAACAAAGTGAGCTCCCATGACTTGTCCCAGCTTCTGCCAACCCAGCAGTTCGAAAGCATGTAAAAAATGCAAGTAGAAAAATAGGAACCACCTTTGGAGGGGAGGTAACAACGTTCCATGCGCCTTCGGCATTTAGTCATGCCAGCCACATGACCACGGAGACGTCTTCGGACAGTGCTGGCTTTTCGGCTTTGGAATGAAGATGAGCCACTGCCCCCTAGAGTCAGGAACGACTAGCACATATGTGCGAGGGGAAGCTTTACCTTACTTAACTCACAAAAACCCAGCTTTCTCCTCCCCTCTGCCCCCCATTTCAGCCTTGGAAGTCTTATACAACCTTAAACAATTTCTGCCAATCTTGTTTCTGAAATTTGATTGATTTTGAGGACTAGTATAACTCTACATAGCATGGCTACCTCCTGATCTATGGCTAGGATTGGATCATTACCAGCAGTCTTTGCAAACGAGGACATCATCACTTAATATTTCCACCAGATTGTGCCAAAAAAAACCTTTCCCCATCCAAGGTCTTTCTGATTTGGGACTTTAAACCTTGCTCAGAATATCCACGTGATAAAATTTCCAGATGTCAGTAGTCAGTAGGTAGTTTCCCCCCCTGTTTTATCCCCCCCCCCACTATTTGGACATTTGCATTGATTGTTCATTCTGATCCGGGCGATTTTAATGATTCAATATTTATTATTTTAAGCAATGTTTTTGGGGAATGGGGGATCCATTATTTAGGGGTCCCAGGACACCGCAAACTTGCCCTGGGAGCCATAGACTTTTTTGCAGACACATCACTGCCTGGGGTGCAAGTCTTTAACCCCCCCCCCTCCAATATCTGGGGCTGGGGGATATACCCTCTCTGGGAAGACCCCCCCAGGCCAGGGGAGACCCCTAGAAATTAAAGGGTTTCTCCACCCTCCAGCCTCAGCCCTAGGGGTGGAGGGCCCACTAGGGTCCCCTAGAGCAGCTTCAGGGGGGTAAGGGGGTGGAAGATGGTCTCCCCCAGGCTAGAGACCCCTTTGGGACCCCAAAGTGGGGAGGGGGATTGAGACCCTCCTTCTAACACGGGTTGGGGGCTTCCCCTCTCCCCATGTAATATTTATTTCACTCCCAGGTTATTTCTACCCCTCTGGGCTATTTTAATAATCACCCCCCCCTTCGAGGGCCCCAAAGCCCATATATATAAATATATTTATATTATAAATATATGATATATATAAAAGAAATTCACGCCCACCCCTCCCCCGAGACCCACCTAGCCCGTCCTGGAGCCGGAGAAAGGCCGCATCGGGCCGCGAGATTTTCCCAGCCTCCCGGTCGTCTCAAGCGGGGTTGCCGCTCACTCCAGTCCGAGGCTCCGAAGGGGCCGCCTAGGCCCACATCTAGGCCGGCGGGCTGCGCCAAAAAGAGGGCGATTCCCGGAAGGAGTTACGCACAGGTGAGGCGTAAGGCACGCCGGAAAGGGGGAGGGCCACGCAACTTTCGCAGCGACTTGAAACAGGAAGAGGGAAGCGCCGGTTGAAAAAAAAAACACTAATTATAATGTGCATTTCATCAGCTGAGGGATGCGAAAAGGAGGGGATTTTCAAATGGAAGGGCCTTAAATCTTTAAATGGCAATGGAAGTCGTCGATCGAGAGATGTTTCGGATGCATTTGGAGGCTCTCCTTTGCAGCAAACCTTTGCAGATTTTAAACTTTTGGGGGGGAAAAACCCAAGGGATTTGCTGTTTTGGCAACTGAATTTTTTTTCATGTCCAGGAAATGAATAGCTGACGATTAAAGACCCAAGTCCTCGATCTTTTGTAGACTTTCTTTATAAAAATAATTGCAATTCGGTGCAAATAAAAAGTTTTTTCCCTATCCCAAAGCGTGGGAAAACCTATTCGTATCCATTTCTTGTATTCATAATCGTGTTTATACATCTATCTGTTGTCTTATACATTGCTTGACCAAACAAATAAAATTAGAAATTAAAAAATAAAATTAAAAAATAAAACTTCACCAAGGGAGCTGCGCTGAAGCTGTAAATGCCGGTTTAATGTAATGTATGTAATGTAATTTAATGTATTGTAATTTTCTCGCCTTTAGCTGAGCAGGCAAAATAAAGCCAAAAGCCATCAAGACAAAATTCTCTTTATAGGAATCTTCCCAGCATAAACATAAAACGTTTCAACAATGCTGAATGCTTCAACAGCCTCATATTTTCAGGGCTGCTTCGTTGGGCTTCTTCCCACTTACTAAAGTTGAATCTTGGCTTCTCAAAAAACAATTGGAACCTTTATATAAGAAAAAATCCATCTATATCCCCCATCAAATGTTCCCAGAAGAAAGTTAAGTCATCTGGTGTGGAAGCTACCCCAAGGTAAATAGATTTAACTTCCCAGTTTATCAACAATGTGTATACTGATTTTTTTTAAATCTTTTAAAGCAGCATAATTATGTGTTTAACAATGGAATGAATGGGAAGCTTTCTGTTTTAAATGCTTATGGGTTGTTCAGCCCTTGAAGGAAAGCTCAAAAATGTCTAAATGAAAACCAAGACTAAAATAGAAAATGTAAATATATGGTGATATCAATAATCAATATTATTATGTGTTAGTACTACTGTTGTTATAGCAATAGGAAGGCAATGCAGAATGGAGAATTATAAAAACTAAACAGAAGGCTGCATAATTGCTTTACATTATTATGTATGTTTTGTGTTTTTCTTCTTGTGTTTTTCTTTCTGTTTTTAAAGGTTAAAACGTTCAATAAAAATTATTATTAAAAAAAAAGAAAATCAAGACTACCAAGAAAACCAAGATTCGGACTATTTCATAACATGGCAACTGTTCTATAAATGGTTAAATGACAGATATGGAGGTTAGAGGAGTGGAATTGGGTGAAATATGATTTATAAGGTAAAGGTAAAGGTTCCCCTCGCACATATGTGCTAGTTGTTCCCGACTCTAGGGGTTTATAGGATAAAGAAAAACAGAAGGGCAAATATTTTTGATAATGTATGTTATAATATGATTGAAGTTATCGCATATTTAGCTATATATTACCGCAGATTTGTGTGTGTGTATGTGTAAATAACATGATCATAATGATGATGTTTGTATGCTTGCATGTATATTTGTATTTTAACACCTTGGACACACTGCTCAACATAGAAAGGAAATGTATGATATAAAAGAATAAAAATATTTTAAAAAAGAAAGCCACGACTAACATTAAACCCCCAATAAACTAAACATCCATTTTTATCTCCTTTAAAGGACCGCCTTTAAGGAAGATATGGGCATCCACAGTTGTCCCTGTTGTTCGCTAGTTCTTTGGAGGTAAGACTGAATCTCAGGTGGAGTTTCCATCTAGATGTTACTCATTAATCTTGGACTCTTAAAAAAAAAGCCAGAAGCCACCTTTGGTTTGTTGTGGTGGAATAAAACCGGAGGTACATTTATTCAGACACCATCCAAAATAAAAATCTTAATTGTTTTAAGGAAGCATCAGGATTGGGCTTGCAATTTTCGGACCAACGTAATGTGAAGCCAGATGCTACAAACAGCTATGGATTCTCTGCCAAAATTTCATCAGGAACGCGGTGGCTAAGACGCTGAGCTTGTCGATCAGAAAGGTCGGCAGTTTGGCGGTTTGAATCCCTGGCGCTGCGTAAAGGAGTGAGCTCCCGTGACTTGTCCCAGCTTCTGCCAACTTAGCAGTTCGAAAGCACGTTAAAAATGCAAGTAGAAAAATAGGGACCACCTTTGGTGGGAAGGGAACAGCGTGATGTGCGCCTTCGCTGTTTAGTCACGCTGGCCACAATGCCATGGAGACATCTTCGGACAGCACTGGCTCTTCGGTTTTGAAAGGGAGATGAGCACCGCCCCCTAGAGCCAGAAACAGCTAGCACATATATGCAAGGGGAACCTTTACCTTACGCCTCATCCGAACCCACCCAACCCCAACACCTGTCCAGCCACCCCTTTGGTCTTGTCTGCTCCAGCACCAAAGCTTTCCAAGGGGCTGGTGACCCTTCCTAGAAGAAGCCAAGAAAGGTCATTCTCAGGCCGCTTGATTGACCTTCTTTGTCCAGAGGGGCAGCGAAAAACTCGGGCGGCTCCAACTGGGGTCCCAGCAAAGCACAGCGCAGATTATGCCGCCTAAAACCACCAAAAAACAAAGGAACCACGTCAACAGCCCAGTCTCAGTGAATGGGAGGATGAAGACGATCAGGACCGATACGAGCAGAAGCAGCAGAATCAGTCTCTTGATGGCAGCCTGGTTGATCTCGGCTGAGTCCTGAGATTGTATTTCGGGGGAAGAAGGCTGCTGGCTGTGCCACACCCCGACAGCGATCTCTGCCTCTGGATCCGGGGCCCCCAACCGCTCCATGACATGCTGTAAGTTGCGGAGGCTGCAGACGAGACCCCCGAATACCACCGTGGCTTTTCGGCAGAGGGGACAGCTGACGATCCAGATGTGATCTTCTTGCCGCAAGATCACCTGCAGGCACACGGCGCAGAAGGCATGCTGGCACGCCAGGACTTTGGGCAGCCGGGCGAGGCTGAATTGATGGAAACAGATGAGGCAGGTCATGTCAGTGGCAGAGACTATCAACGGGCACGGCTGTAGAGGCACGGAGGGCGACACTGACACGGCAACGGGATGCGAAGATGCCGAAGTCTCATTGTCTGGATTTCTGAGTTCTAGATCCACCGCTTTATTGCAGGGACTTTCCTCTTGAATGGAGCAGCCCTCGATTCTCGGACCATCATCCGTTCCAGACGTCTCTCCAGAAATCTCAGATCGGTCCATCGGTTTGCCGGCTTCCTTCACAAGTTGCAAATCATCCATGGGAATTTTTTTTTTTTTGCAGAATTCGGCCGAGGGAGAAACGCAGCGCTCTCTCAGCAATACGGACGAGCAGCCTTGCCTTTAACTGCACATCTGTGGATTTGACAGCTGCTTTTATAAAAGTGCTTTGTCCTAGCAAGAGTAATTGCTTTGTTTAAACTCTCCCAGAAAGTCCCACCCTTTAAGCTCACGTGGGACGAGTGGATGTGTTTGTTTTCTTTAAAGCCAAATGGAAATTAAATTTAATCAGTAACTCTAATGACCACAGGATTTCTTTTACCGCGCCCGATAATGCAAGAGCGCTAGGCAATTCCAAAGGAAAAAGCAAACATTTCGTTACAATTGGCAAACAAAACTCTCAAACTCTCGGCTTCAGATTTGAGGCCAAGGAGATGGAAGGTTAAATGCTGCAATTTTGCTCAAAACAATGAGCCGTTTTAGGAGCAGATGTGAATTTGCAGCCCGGGTGTTCCAAAGTTTATTCATTCGGGGAACGTGCCCAAAGGCAGAAAATGGTCTCCATGATTGAGAACAGCCTAGTTTTTATTTTATTTAGGGCTGAGCTAGAAACTGACGTGATGGCTCAGTGGCTAAGACGCTGAGCTTGTCGATCAGAAAGGTCGGCAGTTCGGCGGTTCGAATCCCTCCCGTTACTCGTCCCAGCTTCTGCCAACCTAGCAGTTCAAAAGCACTTAAAAAATGAAAGTAGAAAAACGGGGGGCCACCTTTGGTGGGATGGTACCAGCATTTTGTGCGCCTTTGGCGTTGAGTCATGCCAGCCACATGACCCCAGAGACATCTTCGGACAGCACTGGCTCTTTGGCTTTGAAATGGAGATGAGCACTGCCCTCTAGAGTTGGGAACGACTAGCAGATATGTGCGAGGAGAACCTTTACCTTTAGAAGCTGAAGATAAAAGCAAAGGAGAGTTAGGAACTAATCATAAGCAGGAGTGTTTCAATTCCTTTATTGGTGCCCAGCTCTCCTGCCTTACAGAATAAACACAACATTCTCATTTTTGGGGGGGGGGGGTGTCTGTTTGTCTCTCACGGCCTGCGGCAAAGGGCAAAGGATCATGGGTGTTGCAGTCCAGCCCCCTCGGAGGAAAGCAAGCCGTGGGAAACAGATGCCCGGGCGATTATCAAGTCGTCGTCACGTCCCTCCGAAGTCATCCTACTCCCCATCTTTGTCGTCCATGACGGGGAGGCTGTCATAGGATGGGAAATCCAGATGTGGGGGAAGAGGGATCCTGACTTCGTGGGGTCTGGGGGAAGAGAGGCTCTGAAACCGAGAGAGGAAGCCGGATCGAGCCACACTGCCGGGACAGTCTTCCGAGGCGCAAACATGGCAGTCCTCGAAGGAGCAGGCTTTCTCCTGCCAAAACTCCGAGGTCTTCAGGTCGAGCGAGACGTTGACCCCCCAGACGACAAAGTGCCGTATGCGGGCCTGCTTGTGAAGCTTGCACATACACACCCAGGGCTGCCAGTTGTTCCAGTGGATGTTGGCATCCCCTACAAGGAGCGAGAAAAAATATTGCAGAAGACTGGGAATCTAGCACCCACCGGTCAGCAGGAAACGGGGAATTTGTTCAAAAAGAAGATAGCACTAGCAATAGCAGTTAGACTTATATACCGTTTCATAGGGCTTTCAGCCCTCTCTAAGCGGTTTACAGAGTCAGCATATCGCCCCCAACAACAATCC